TCTACTTGTAACAACATTGCAGGCAGGTGACCTAATGATGGCTGTCTTCTTGGGGCAAGACTATTCTGTTTAAGAAACATTTAAAAGGCTGTTGTTAGGGGCCAACATTGTACTAGGGGCTGATGGTAAGGGAATTTAAAAAAAGGCAAAATGTAAGAGATAAAAGCCAAGTGTTATAAGAGCTAAGGTTATTCACTCATGGTTTCATTTTCCCAGTAAAATAGGACCAATTTTAATTGTCATTGTCTTACATAGAGAAGTTCTTGAAGACCTTCTTATAACCCATATTCTATATACAATGTGATCTATGTCAGATTCATTAAAGCATAGATGGGATAAGGGAGTATGTAAGAGATAACCCGAAAATTCAAAGAATACATTTAGAAATTAGAGCTCTAAGACTGCTAAGTAATAAAAAGACTATTAAAAGGGAAAATTTCCCAAGATGTTGGACTATTATGTGAGGATATCCATCAGATAGTGAGTCTTGTTGACCTTAGAGAAGGGAAGTGCATGGATTATTTAAACCCATGGATGACATGAAGTCTTCATTATATTGACTCACTTCTCTTTCCTTCCTACCTGTAGTTGACAAGCTGGAATGTGGCCCCTTTTCCTGGTATGATGGAAAGACTTTGTAATCATGTGGACCTGAGTTCAAATTCTGAACACTCACTATGTAATCCTGGGCAGCTTCTTAACCACACAGAACCATGGATTTCTTGTTTCTAAAGTGGAGCTCACGATACCCCTTTTAAAGAGTCAACGTAAATGATAGTGTATCTATGCAACCTTCCACCTGGTAGGCATCAACTTTCCTCCCTCTGCATTCCTGCTGGTACCTGGCCATGAATGGTCATGACACCATGGAGAATGTATGGAGGACAATCACTTATCTCTGGAAATCCACCCAGATAATCCCACTAAGTAGTCAACTTGGCTTCCATCTCCTTTGCTGTTCGTTCTTCTACATTAAGTTGGCCTTTGCTTATAATCAATATCCCTCAATAATAAAAATTTTCCCAGAGATGGGACCTTGCAGAACTCCTTCACCACTACCAGCAAATGAAAGAAGTTGAGAAGACAGAAATGAAGCAATTGTTCAGCTATTCTTGGCTGAGGAGGGTTGGTACCTGGGCGGCCCCTCCTACCTGATGGTTGGGTCCTTATTAGTGATTCTTTCCCCATCACTTCTTGCCCAGAGTCTGTTGACTGCTGGGCCCCGTTGGGTGGCCACTGGATGAGAGTATTAGCACCAGACCAGTTGCTCCCCCCCCCCC